TTAACTTTTACCAAAGTATTTTTATGATAAGATACTTGTACTTTTACTCAAGTATCACTTTGAAGTACTTTATATAACACTGCACACATACAACAAAACATCCAAAGGTAACATTCAGACTTCTACACCAAATAAACCCGTTTACAGAGAAATGCTGCCCCCTGCCGGTCACCTGCAGACCTGATCACTCTTAATGACCTAATTTCACTCAGTAGGTGCCTGATTTACTCATGAAAAAGGACATACAGTACACTTGATGTGGTTCTGTTTCTAAACATCTATATTATTGAAATCAAAGACTGTGGGACATCAAATCATTTCTGYCATGTTTAATATTGTGGTTTGTATCATGAGGTTGAACAGTGAGAGACCAGCAGGATTTATGCACAATGAACTTGAAACAAAAAAATTGTGACTAATTAACTGACTCTAGTCTTGTAATTTACAYTTTGTGTCCAATCAGCTTTGTGTCCATCCCATCAGACTTGGATGAATGAAACCACCTGYGCTCACAGACATGAGGCCAAGCAGAGAGAAGGTGGTAGGACAGAAAACAGGTGTCTTTAGGAAAACATTATCAGAATATCACAGGATTGTGAAATCTGCCCTCCTATCTAATATGATTTTTGTAAACAAACAGGCACAACTTAGGTCCATATGACACTATTTTCATGGAGGCATCTTCTGAATTTTGACCATTTGTAAACATTTTTTCACTAAAAAATACTTCTACTTTAATACATTTTCATTTACAGCTTAATCAGTATCTATCCCCTCTGTGTGTACGTAAATAGTGTTTATTTGAAAGCTTCAACTTCTCCACAAGATCACCTGTTGTGKTTTTAAGGAAACCCACAGCACTGAGCTTCATAGTTTCATAGTTCATAGTTTGACAGAGAGGAAACATCTCACTGTCATCAGGTCCAAGCTGCTTTCAAACATGCTGTCCTGATGCATCTCAGTAATCCAGGTAAAAAATCAAAAAGAAATAAATTGTATAGGTCTTCTGGACGGGTTCTTCTGTAATGAAACGTTTCGTCTCTCCTCCAAGAG